GGTTCACCATGGTTTTTCGAAGATTATATTTTTAGATGAGGTAGGAGACGGTAAAAGTTTTAGCGTGAGAAATAAGTAAATCTTTATTCCTGTGAGATGAAGGTTTCTCTATTTTTGATGATGTTTTAAATTATTTTATTCGGTCAATCGGCCGATCCACAGTTTCTTCAACTGCATCTGGATCCAGCTAGCAATCATGAACTTCCTGCAAGCAGCAACGGAACAGTTACACAAAAACTACGTATTACGAACAGCCAGCATGGCAAGGTAAGAATCTGCTTGTGCACACAACTTTTAATCTTCTTGCAATTCATGTTAGCTGAGCAATGTATCGTGGTCTATATTAAATCAACTGTAAGTCTGAGATTATCAAGCTACATCGTGGTCGCATTTTTCTTCACTCATTTATTGCTAGCGAAAAGTACGAATGCATTGTAGCATCTTTTGCTCTAAAGCAGAAACAAAAGTTTCAATGACAGTGGAATAAAATTGTGTGCATATTACTGAAATGTTATTTGGCTCTTAGAAATCCCTGGTAATGCGGATAAGGATAAGCTACAAAGCAAAAGGCAAAGATGTTTTAGAGGAAGGCCAAATCAACAATTTCCCACGTGATTTTTGAAAGTGCTTTTGGCTTCCTGGTACCATGCAATCTCTTATTAATGCATCTTCTTGTCAGCCATTGCTTGCGGGGAAGAAAATAATGATTTTGTTTGTCTCGATTATTTGGTTTTCCTTTCCTTCCCTAAAAGGCGGTTTTTTTTGTATATTACTTTGAGAAAGATATATAAGCAATTGTTGGAATTAGATTTTTGCCTCCTGAGGTGTGCTTACAAGCAATTAGAGGTATCTTTATGCTGATTATATTCTCTTGTTTCTTGAGATTAGATGTCATATGAGCTTTGTGAGGCGAGCTTGTCGTGCGACATTTTTTTTTTTTTTTTTTTNTGTAATGTATATTTCTTCAATTGGATGGTTCGGTCCATCATGTCTTATTTCTTTGTTTTTGTGTTTATCTTTCTGTAGAAATTAAAGACTTTAGTCTCTGGGCTGAGTTCTTTTGTTATCTGCAAAACCACTTGTAAACCTCCTATGTTCATCATTTCATCATTAGTTTTTTCCCCCAGTAACCACTTGTAAATCTCTCTTTTATTTTTTTATTTTTTATTTTCCCTGTTATTTCTTGCTTCCGTTATCCACCTGTGCACTGAATCTTCAGTTGGAAGTTGGTGCAAGTATACTCGTTTAAGGTGTATGTCTGATTTAAAATCCTTTCTGAGATGAATAGATTTAATGCTTTATGTGGAGCAAGGCAATACCCAGAATTTTCATTGTGGTATGTCTCCATCTACACCCCAAAAAAGAAAAAGAGGAAGCTTTACCCACGTTTGTCTTTTTTATTTTTTTTTGGGTCCCCACCTTTGGTTATGTACTGAAAAGTAACAATATTTTCTTTTTTATTATTATTATTAATTATTATAGACCTAACCAAATGGTTTTTTCTAGGCTAGGTTCGTTAACATTTTTCTCGGATGAAATTTTTTGGCCACGAATAAATACTTGACAAGAATTGTTGAATAAAAATGTTTGTAGCATGCGAATGAAACATTGATTACATCATTAGTCTTCTGAGGTTGAACTAATTAAAAGTGACATGAGACATGATTATACCATTAGTCTTCTGAGGTTCAACTAATTAAAACTAACATTTCATGTCGAAGATGGAATATTCTAATTTCATTTATAGATTCACTAGCAGTCAGTTGCTATTTTTTTAAGAATTTCATATAAGCAATGCAATATGCATGGATGTTAAACTGAAAACGTTGAAAAGATAATATTTTTTTTAGTATGTTACGTACAAGGGTGTTACTAAACACCGCCCATTTTATTACTACGTACCACTCCCTTTGGACTGCTTTGCCTCTGACATTTTTCCAAAAAAAACTCAAAAGATCATGAATTCTCTGAAATTTCGGCGATTTCTGGCGAAAATGAGCTATGACGAGGTACGAACCCAAGTCCGTCGGTATGGCCGGCCGGTCGGGTTATTTTTTTTTATTTATTATAAAAATTATGTTAGAATTTAAAAATTATTATGTTATAAATTAGAATTTATTATTTTACTTATTATTATTTTTTGAGAACTTAGAAATTATTATGTTATAAATTAGAATTGACTATCGTTCCGGAAAAAAAAAAATTAGAATTGATTATCTGATTGATTTTTATTATTATTATTATTATTATGTTAGAACTTAGAAATTATTATGTTTTAAATTAGAATTGATATACATTATTCGAAATTTAATTAGTATTATAAATAATTTTTTATCTATGGAAAAAGTATTATTTTAAAATATAAATATAAATCTTTATATTATTTAATATATATTTTTGTTAGTAGACAATAATTATAAATGATATATTATTTTTTTTTATAGATAATTAGTATTTTGTTATATAGTTGATAAATTTGAAGTGCTAAAAATTATTAGGATATAATTATAATTTTTTATATTATAGAATTATTTTTAATATTATTTGTAAATTAATTAGTACTAGAGATAAATGTTTATTTTTGTAAAAAGTGTTATGTTAAAATATAAATATAAATATTTGTAATTATTTATATAATATTTATTGTATAGTTTTGTTAGTAAACAATATTTATAATGGTTATATTGTTTTTTTATACTCAATAATTAGAATTTATTATCTAATTGAAATCATTATTTTTAAAATTATTTGAATTTTCATGTTAAAAATTATTATGTTTGATTTAAGCTAGTACAACTCAATTGCGAAATATACTAGTATTTTTTAACATCGTAATATTTTGCAGGTGTCATTCAAAGATTTTGGAGAGGACGGTATTGATTACAATACTGTTTTCATTATGGAGGAAGTATTTGATTGTGATGCCTAAGCTATTAGATGGGGAAAAGAAATGACAATTCAATATGATTTTGAATTGATCATTTCTTCATATAAAAAAGGTGGAAGGATGAAGTTGTTGAGATGTGCACGAGGAGAACGTTACAGAAGCAGTTTTGGAGATTTAGACCGAGTTGGAAGAAGTTCAAGTACTAAAGCGTGCAATTGTCCATTTCGGATAGTAGTCCAACAGGTGACACGATCTACATATTGGGGGATCCGTGTAAGTCCTGGTGTTAAAGGAATCCATAATCATGCATTGGATATATATCCTGAGAATTATCGACAGATGACCAGACTTAGCGCTTCATCTAAAGATATTGTACGTGATATAACTGCTGCTCAAGCAAAACCAGCAGTAATTTTGGCTGCGACCCAGGAAAAACATCCGGAAGACAATGCTACTCGACAACATGTGTATATCTATACAGATGAATTGGAGAGATAGTTTCGAGGGTAGAGATGTGGCTATCTAGATTCTACACTTGACTTTGGAAAGTAAATATATAGTTTATACATATGTTGATGAGGAGACACAAGCGTCGACACATCTGTTCATGTCGCGTCCAGAAGCAGTCAACCTATTCCAGACATATTACCGGTACATCGGTATAGATTCGCCGTACAAAATCAACATGTATGTTACTTTATAAATAACAATTAGTATGAATCTTAATTAGTATGTTTGAGTAAGTTTTTCAATCCTATGTTTCCTCTTGTTGTTGGTTACCTTTTTATTTGCACATGTACAAGATGCCATTGATGGAAATTGTTGGAATGATGCCATTTTAATTCGCATATTTATTAACTATACATCCGATTTGGACATGCGAATTGTAAACTATGCGAAAATATTTCGCATAATCATAAATATGCGACGATCAATTTGGATATGAGGTAATTGTATATGGGAAATAATTTTCGCATAATTTTGATTTGAATAATTATAAATTATGCGATTCGTGAATATGCGAACTTGTATGCATAATCATTAATTATATGGCGTTATAGAATTAGATATATGAGTTGTAAAAACTATGTGAAAAAAATTCGTATAATCCTAAATATACGATGTTCATTTTGGATATGCGAATCTTTCTTGCATAAGGTAAATTATGCTGAGTATTTAGATACACGATTAAATAATATGCGTAAGTGTTTCGCATACTTGTTAACCATGCGTCCGATTTAGATATGCGACTCGTAAAATATGCGAACAAATGTTCCATAATGATAAATATGTGACTATCAATTTGGTTATGTAACTACTATATATGCAGAATAATTTCGCATATCAAGCGTTATGCGGTTGATTTGGATATTCAATTAACAAATATGCGAATGTGTTTCACTTAATTTTTAACTATACATTCAATTTGGATATGTGTTGGTATATATACGACAAAATATCGCATAGTTGTTAATTATACAATTCATTTGGATACGCGATATTTATATGACATATAATTTCGTGAGTTGTGGGGTGAAAAATGAAATATCTTGATGGGAGAGCATGTAAAAGAAAATGCATGTATATATTAAGGTTTAATTCCCTTTTAATATTATGTACATATATACAACTTATAATATTTTATTTAAATATGTGGATTCGTCCGGATTGAATACTAGTTTGTATAATAACACTGACATTTATAGAAATGATATAAATCTTTAATGAAACATCCATTATTCATATAACTAAATATTGGAATTTATGAACATATCCAACCTAAGATAATAAATTGTTGCCTCCAAAGTTGCAAAACAACACCACCTAGATCGAATTCGAATAACAACATACTTAAGATCTCACACATAATTTGATATGAAATTACTCTCAAGCTACAACACCATCAAACAAACTTATGACTCACCAAAACAACTACAAATTAAAAAGCCTCAAAATGTGATATCTTAATATTGCCAAGCTAGAGTAAATGTGACAACCTTGATCAGACAACAGCAACCCATCACAAGCACTTAAAAAAAAAACTCCTCATACTCCCCAAACACATTCAAATCTTCCAATCAAACTCAACTACAACAACATTAATCAGAACATACTATATGTTATCCATGTCATGACTATTCACATTCAAATCATGATGATAATTACCAAAGTGGGCATTCCCATCATCGTCTTCAATATTCTCTTCCTTTGTGGGCCCCACGGACGACGAGGGCATGACAGATGGCAGTTTCGAGAGGAGGGCATCGAGGCTGCTCATGGATGGGGTTATGATCATCTTCATGGGGGTGTGAGGGGCAAAGTGGTCAAAGTAGTTGTGTGGGGTTTTGAAATTATTATTATTATTATTATTATTGTGCCAATTAGGCTCTGCTTGTGCTTGTGGGTGGTTGTTTATAAATTGGTGGTGATCACTATTTCTGATGGTCAAAGGGTATGCTGATGTGGAGGATGGATGTGGCAATAATACCCCTGGGATGCTCTCTATGTAGCTCCATTTCTTCCTTAGTAGCACTACATAGCTCAAGTCCTCAATAACCTAAACTTATGTCAAAAAATTTGTTTCCAAGGGTTAGTTTGGACATTTTGCACTTGAACTCCTATTTCTAGTAAGTGTGTGTGGTTTGGTTGGGGGAAGATAAAAAGTGAGAGTGAAGAACCTTGTGAACAGCTCCTAATTGAATAACACCTTCTCTAACAGCAATCAAAGCAATGGTCTGCATTATAATAATAAATATGAAAACACATGTAAATATATAAATTGGTAGTTACATATTTAACAAATGTATATTTTTCTTATTGATATTCTTGTAGTTTTATGTTGAGCTATTTGAGCTAGCTGGTGCATATATAGTACCTTTATACCAGACTGAAATTGAGCCTCCCATGTCCTGGGCTGCTGCTTTTTTCCCAAAAAATAATAACTTTGATTAATGACAAACCAAAATAAGGANAAAAAAAAACAAAACAAAAAAAAATGGGAATATAAGAATAGTAATAAATTGTTGTTGCTAATTATAAATGCCTAGCTAGTGATTAATTAATTACAGAGTCAGGTGAGTTATGCCATGCAGATAAGAAGTTGATTTCTTCATCATTTGGTTCTTTGTGGATCCATTTGTGGCCGTGATCAGCAGCTACTTTTCCAATCAATCTAACCAAAAATAAAATAAAAAAATAAAATAAAATAAAAAAAAAAATCAAAAGGAAACAAAATATATATCCAGCTATCTTAGTATTTTTTTAAAAAAACCATTTCCTTCAACCCTTACCCTTCACCATAACTGTAGATTTCATGGGACATTTTGAAAAACAGCTCAGGCTGCAAGCCTTGGCTATATTGTTGATTATAATTATTACAATTGTCGTACACCGTTGATTCTTTCCCCGCTGCATCGATCTCAGCCGTTGAGGCAGCAAAATTGCAAAAACCGTCTTCCCAAACCAATATCCTGAATAAGGAGAATAAATTAGAGCAGTATAGTAATCACAAAGTAATAATTAAGCAAGATTAATTAATTGCATATTTATGGACTTCAATAACATATATACCAGTTTCTCCTCACTCCTCGTGACCGGTCATACACTCCTCCTTGGCTATCCCATCTATATATATAATATATATAAGAAATAATAATATCAAAAAATTAGAACGAAAAAAGTAAAATAAGAAAAAAAAAAAGGTAAATTTTAACATGTAGGAGTTTAAAAGAAGTTAAATTTGCTAAAAGAATAAAATGTAAGGAATTTATATTAGTAATTATTTAGAAGTACTTGGGAGGTGGATAGTTTCTTGGCAAAACCCTCCAGAAAACAGCATAAACCCATTGAGAGTTGTCATGAATGCAAAGGCTTCTGAGAGTGTGTTGAAGAAGATGAGTTACTGAGAGTGAGTTGAGCTGTTCTTCCATTGCCTTATTTTTATTTTTCAACACCTATACTATTGCTATATGCCTATAAAACTCTCTCTCTCTCTCTCTCTCTTTTTTTTTTTTAATTTTATATTTTTTACAAAATTATTTGAAACATTTTCAAAAGAAGTAAAATCCCAACCTCTCTTTACTCTCTTTATATAAGGCCACTACCAAGGAAATCTTGCATTTATACCTCCCTTTATCTCTCTCCTAATAAATTTTTCTGCTTTTAAATTTTTCTAAAATGATTTCAGATGGCCCACAATTTTTTTTTTCTTTTTAATTACTCTCTGTGGTATAGTCCTATATATGCTTTTCTTACTCAATTATGAGTGAGAAGACCCAAGAAACAAATTTAAAGCACTTAAAAATAGTTGTTCCACATATATAATGATTAATGAGTAGATCCTCTCCATCATTCCGGCCCATAACTTTTTCTCCCCAAACCCAACACTTTTATTTATTTTTTAATTGCAATTCTGACGCATTACAACTCATTTCCGTCCCAGGAAAATTAATGCAATATATATATTAATGAAATTGTGATCCTTTGAGTGAGTTGAACCAATGTATTCGGTGTGGTTCGGTATAGTTTTTACGGTGTTCGGTTTGCAGCGTAGTTTGGATTTTAAAAATTTGCGAAAAATTCTGTGCGGTTCAATTTTGTGTCCGAACAGTGTTTTAACCAAACCACACCGAGTAGCTTAAAAAAGTGTCATTATATTTGTACCACCACTCTTTTTGCTTGAAAGTTTCAACAATTAACATCACAATTTATAATTAAACTACTCCAATTTTGAAAAAAATTGAAGTCTTGCAACATGATTTGTTTTTAGCCTTTTTAATTGCGGTTAACCGAAAAACCGAATCGAACACAACCGAAAAATTCAGTTTGGTTCGGTTCTGTTTTTTCTTCTCTTGCAGTGCTGTTTGTTAAACAAATTCTCGTTTTTGGTTTTCGATTTTTTGCGGTGCGGTTCGATTTCAGTTTTCCACCAAACCGCACCGTTATATCTTTATTAATATATATCATTTTCATTTAGAAAGTGCTCGATAATTCCCAGACTGTTTCACAGGGTTTTAATCAAATTTAAACAAAAAAAAGTTTTTGTAATTACCATACTTCTTACACTATACTAATTTATATTTTCTGTAAAAATGAAATAAAACTTACAAAAATTAGTGCCGTATGTTCTCAGGAGTTGGGCTTAATAATTACTTAAAAAAATTTAACATAAATAATAATTTTGTTATACTTGTAAGAAACTGGAAAAAATAGGTGCGGTCCCACTAACATGAAGCGCACCATAAACGGAGAAAGCCCATATGAAATTTAAGTAGGATTACATCCCAAAACCAATTGGTGAAAGTAGGAGTAACCCATTAAACTTAGTGAGTCTATATTCTAGACAACTCAGTGATATTCTAACAATACTATATGATAGATTATCTGTATATAAATAAATAGGGCCCAAAAATTTGAGAGCCATAGAAAAATGTGTAGTTGGTCCTTAGTAAACCACCTTTTAAGTAAAGCTTCCATAATTTGCCAAAACAAGTGAAACTCAAACTGTGGGGTAAAAACTGTAATATGGCTAATCCAAACGCATCTATACCAATAAATGAGTAGAAGAAAATCACGTGAAGTTGCCCCATTCTCATTGAAAATTAATGGTTTCTTTTGTTGACCAATCCTACTTTCTTTTCACCTAACTCCTCATCATCACTTTTTATTTTTCAAGAAAACATGTGGAGAATTAAGTAATACATAGAATTGTAAATGAGAAACATGAAAAAGATGTTTAATTAATTTGCATACATTTCTATCTTTGACGAAAGTGATAATTCACAATCAAAAGTGCTGAAATATGTTAAATTAAGAGTTTTGATGAATCTCATTTGTTTATGTATACAAGGTATTACATTAATGCTATTCTTATAACGTTAGACAATCATACCATTTCAAGTGATATACATACTTTGTAAGTAAAATATATATTAAAAAGAAATATAATAAAAATATAATATTTCACATTATTAAGAAAGTATAATTATTTGTAGGTTCATCTGACGGTTAGATTATCCCAAACAAAAATTTATTTAGAAATAATTAAATGATATAATCCAAGATTTAAAACATTTCAATGATTAGAAGCAATGTTTAAAATACTGTATCGTACCGGCCGATATTATCAGTAATACCGGATGACGGTGGTCAGACTGATACAATTACTCTCTAAATACCGTTTTGCCAAAATATTAGTTTAATTATTACGCTTTCATACCGAAAAATATCGGTTTAATTGGAAAATATTGATCAAAATACTGATTTATGCTGGATTTTAAAATAATATTAATTTTTTAATATATATTTATTAATTGATTTATATAAACTGAAAGTTTTACAATTAATTTTAATATGTTTGCACTGTAATTAAATTTTAATTAATTTTTAAATTTATTAAAATTAGTTTTACACATTCTTTATATTTTAAAAATAAATTAATTTAATATTTATTAAAACTGATAAAATATATTGTAATTAAAAGAAAACCGGTTGGACTGCATACCGATGACTCGTCCGAATATGATTACTACTACGGTATTTAAAACACTAATTAGAAGCAGAATAATCTGACATTTGTAAAAATAAAATTTAGTTTTTCTCACCTCAATAATCTTCATTTCAATTTTTTTTTTTCTCTCTCCATAAGTGTTTGGAAAAGCTCAAAATAAATGCTAGTGAAGTACATAAGTAGAAGGGTATAAATAAGTAGTCTCTTTAGTACTATATGAACAGTTTATACATCACTCTCAATCAGTTATGACTTATGAACCATCGTGTGTACAAAATTTATCGCAGTTTAATGAGTGGTCGAGTTCCTCAATGTACCTGTTCTTTTNTATTTTTTAGGAACTATAGAGTGAAAAAAAATAAAATAAAATAAAGGTTATTTATATTGAACTAGAAAACCATAAAAGTGAGATATAAGAAAAAAAACAAATTGAGTTAACTTGTATTAATAATCCTTAATTTGAAAAAAAAAATAAAAATAAAAAAACCTTGTATTAATCCATCATTCTTTATTCATAAATGTGGATTTTTTTGAACTTATAACATAAATATCAATCAAAATTCTGTTACTACGTAAAAACATGTGTCGTTTATGTGGCTTTCTAATTATATATGTTAAATTTTATATGTGTTAAAGTAGTTCATGTAGGTTTATCTATGCCTATTAGTATTTTTGAAATTATAAAATACTTGGTTAATTTAAATTATAAATATATTTTTAAATATATTAATTTTTTATTCGTTATTAATTCTTCGTGTATAATTTCTTATATTAAAATGGTTTTTGATGATTTTTCTATTTTTAATATATAAAATCCTCTTCTCCTTACCTTTCTTTATACGTGTCTAATGAAAATTAATTTGTTTGGTCCTTTGTATTTCGTTTTTATGTGTCAAATGAAAATTATTTTTTGGGTGCTATGTCTTTCGTTTTTCGATTATTTTTTACGACCAAATTAAGAAAGCTACATAAGGGCGAATGAGGGATCTCATGCCAACCAGACCGACCAAACAAGGAATTTTGACAGAGCATTAAAACGTTTTTTTGACCATTCATCGATAAGAAAATGCGTCCAATCCATTCTTTTAAATACCTAGTTATATTATTATTATTATTATTATTATTTTTTTAAGAAACGCGATGTAACTTTATATATTTAGCGTTATTCTTGAAGCTTACGCAAAATGTTGAAATAGCACGCTTTTTACGCTATTTTGTACTATTTCACGATATATTTCTACAACAACATTTAAACAATAAAATATTAAAAAATTTGTATTTTTTGGGGATTAGAGTTATATTTTTAAATGACTAAAATCTAAAAATTTTGATAATGGTTTCAAATTAAAAGTTTGAAAATGCAAAGTCCTAAGCTGAATAGTGCAATATATATCGGTCCAAGTCTACTATATCATTATATTTTTTGGTATTTGACATTTAGATTTTAGAATAAAAAGTTCAGATCTAGTAGTTAGAATTAAATTAAAAAAAAAACATTTACAATGTATATGCTTAAAATTAAATTATGACTTATCTTATTATATTTTTGTTGTTTGTTTTTACTTTTTAGTATATTCGCTTTGTTATTTAAATATTTATATTGTGGTATTTAATTAAATATTTGTAAGAAAATAATTCTTAGATGTTATTTTGAGTTCATTCAAATATGATAATTTTAGAATCAACCATCCAGTTTTATTATAGGATAATACAAGATCTAAGGAAGACAACAAGTAGCTGGAAGCTCGAAGGTCCTTTGAGCTCTAAATAAGCGATCGGTGACCGCCAGTAGAATCCATAAGTTAATATTTTCAATGCTATTAGTCAAGGGTCAAATCCACCGAAGGTCAATTATTAGAATAACTAAAAAAGTTAAAAGATTAAACCATGACCACACGTTTTGTCCTTATTTAATAATTAGAATTGAGTCTCACAATTCGATTTTAAAAATTGAAATTACTTTGATCCAATCTCTTCACCTAAATTGTAAAACATAGAATAACAGAAGATTGAGGCTATGGCATGGCTATCTGAGCGTCAAAAGCCAACTGGCAAGGAAGGGGCTACAAGGTGATGAGAGGTGTGAGATTCGTGGAGAAGATACTAAAGATACTTAACATGCTGGAAGCTTATGGGAATCAAGTAGAATGGAACAGATCAAACCCAGTTCAACGTCAGAGAGTTGTGGCATTCCATCAATACTGTAGGTACAAAGCATTATTTGTCTGATAGAACTAGTCTTTTGGCATACCTTTTATGGTGGTTTTGGAAGACTAGAAATCTATGAGTTTTTTAAGAAAAAAATGAGGGTCAAGAAGGAGGAAATTTTCAAAGGAGCAAAAGATGAATGAGTAGAGTATCTAGCTGCTCTAAAACTTGATAAATCTCAGCTGAAAGGGGAGGGTACTAGTAAACCTGCACTTGTGGAAGAGTCTGAGTTTGGGGTAGGACAGGTCCTTACTTTCAGTGCCCACTCTTCTAAAAGTGGATG